GCTCTTTTGCTGGGTCAGGCGCTCGGCGCTTGTGCGGTGATCAGCGAGACGCCCGTTCCCTCCCTGTGGGGAAGGAGCCGAGGGTTTGGCCCCGCTGGGTGACACGGGCCGGGGTGGCGTCCCTGCCCCCGGTGCTGTCGGGAGGTTGTTTGTCCGCTGCTCCTCCTCGCAGCGGTTTGGCTTGTTGTTATCTTTCAGTAGACGTTGTTGTTCCCCGCTCCGGTTGTTTAGGGCTGTAAGTTGAGGAACCGCTGAGATCAGATTCTTGGACTTAAATGGCTTCTTAGGAGATTTCAAACTAGTTGGAAGGTTTGGAGGTCTTATGGCACAGCCATACAGGCTGTTTAAAAAGAGAACCGACGCGTGTGGATGCTGGAAGCTCCAAAGTTGTGTTCTTTGTCTGATGAAGAGATTGGTAGATTAACAGGAATCTTTAAATGTTGTTTATTCGTGGAGCCCCTGCCCGGTAGTGGTACAGATACCTTCTGTGACTCCTTTGCACTCTGTAATGAAAGTATGAATTTCTTATTAGTTGTGTGCTTGCCGGGGTTGGGGGAAGAGGGAAGGAGGGAGCACTTAACTAGTAAATGCCTTCTCTAAGGATAAATTCTAGAGGCAGTTTCATTAACAGTTCTGTCCATGCTGACAATGCAGAGCTTTGCCCAAGTGTGTGTGTCTTCTACCAAGACCTCTGGTAAGGGCAAGGGGCAATGCTCTTAAACTGGAAGAGGATAGGTTTAGGTTGGATATGAGGATGAGAGGCACTGGAACAGGTTACTCAGAGAAGCAGTGGATGTGCCATTTGTGAAAGTGTTCAAAGTCAGGTTGGATGGACTTTGGGCAACCTGATCAAGTGAAAGATGTCCCTGCCCATAGCAGGAGAGTTGGACTAGATGATGTTTTAAAAATCCCTTCCAACCCAAGCCATTCTATAAATATGCTCTTTGTGCTAGCTTGCTCAAAAATTATTTTCCTATTCTTTCTTAGTACCTACTGCTGTGGTCCTGCATCCCTCTTAATCAGTAAACCACAAATTGCTAAGTTTATTTTGTTCCTTTTTTTTTCAGTAGAGAAAGTCATGTCAGGAAGAACATCATCTTCAAGTCACATCAGTGTAAGTGTTCTGACAATTTGCAACAATTAATTTTAAGACTGTGGGTATCCTAGGGTGTTCTGATGTGTGTGCACAATTGAATTCACTCTTCAGTGGTCCAGCTTTTGCTTTGTTGGAACAATCTTTCCTGGGAAACCTTTTATTCTGGTAGCAGTCAATACTAATGTCTAAAATTGAACTGTATAGGTATGATAGGCTTAGCATTTGATTACTCATAAACAGGATGTTTTCAAGGTTATTTTAAGACCTAGGCTAACATCTAAAATACTGGAGTAAGCTCAAGCAAGTAGAGTAGTTGTGGAACTGTGTAATATTTGGTTATCTGCAGAGATATGTTCAAAGGCTGTTTATGCTAGTGTTTATTTTTTTCTAAAATACCCCTATTAGTAGTAGTTTCTAGCAGTGGAAGTACTGGTGAAAACAAATGGTAGGCACAGAAACTGGTTTGATTGGGTAAGGTCTGGACTGCCAAGTGATTTAGAAATAAGCTGTTTCCAGCACCTTGTTTATGCACTTTCTCTGCCCCTTGCAGGTGGGAACCTTCAGAAAAATACTGCTGGTTTAGATGAGGAGTCCACTAAGTGCGTATGCACATCTTTCTGTTGAGTTAGTCACTTTTCATTTGGGAAAAGCTGAGGCAACCACACACGTTGCATTTAGCATAGGTTCAGACCTCTGTTTATCTTTGTGCTTGTTCTGTAAGGTAATTGTGGGCACTGCAAACAGACATCTTCTTAATGAGTGCAAGCATTGGGAAGATGCTGTGCGGTGAGCTGGAAATGTTGCTACTGAATGTGTCCTGTGCTTTTTATCCATTTCTGTCAGTCCATCTGTCTCTTTGTTTTCTGAGTCGGACCTTACCTGTTCTTAATGTGATCTGTTATGTTATGACAGAGGTTATCTGAACCTCTTTAAATGCATGTTAAAATTTTAGGTAACCATGTATCCTTAGGAATCTCATAACAGAAACCACCAGTCAGGCAGCAGGTGGAGTTCTGAAGTAAGAAATTTGTACCTGGCCATTAAGGTGCAGATCAGAAGACTGTATTCTGACTGATATGCTTATAGGCCACTTCTAATACAAAACCAGCCAAACAAAATAAGAAAATGGCTTGTTTTGATACTTACATGTTGATTGAAAAGAAAAGGACGTACTTGTATGAGAAGTTGTTGGCTGTGCGTAACAGTTATATCCTTTATAATTTGAGGAATGTGTTATTAAAGGTAGATTTGTTATTACAGCATTTGACCAGCAAAAGCAGTTTGAGGTACTGTAAAATTTGGCTCTAATTACAACTGAAATTTGAGTCTAATTACAAATAAAATTAATCTTTGTTTCCAAGAAGTGCAGAGAAGGAATAAGGGCATTCACGATTCAGACTGAAGAATTGCAGTATTATCCCATTACAGTGCAGCATGCTTTACTATGTTCTGTCTGAAGGACTGCCTACCAAGCTGATGAATGCAGTTGATGTGTTAATTTAAGTTGTTAGTATTGCTGTTCTAGAATCCTTGCTTGTAATTTCATGTTACAACGTAGGGCATCTGGCAGCTTGCAAATCAAATTCATAGTACACTTGACAAGAGCCATCACATGGAGTAACTTCAGCTTTTTTCTGGCTGAGATAGACTCAGTTGTCCGAAAGATGTAAACATTACATTCCCTCTCTGATACATTCACATCTGGTTGTATTTGAAATGTAAGGTTTTCCTTTTCAGGATACCTGGGACAAATGGCAGTGCATCTGAGTACATTATAGTCTGTTGATTCTAAGTTATTGTACCAAAATACTAGTATTAATGCAAGGAGTAATTGTTCTTCATTCTGAATTTTTTGTTTTGAGAGAGCAAACCTGGTGTGACAGTCATCACGACATGCAGCTGTTTTGTTTTTATCGTTCTCAAAGCTGAGACAATTAAACTAGAATGTAAACAAATCAGAGCGAACTAAGAAAACTGCCAGTAAATTGGTTGTTACCTCCTGGGCATATGTTTGAAGTTGTTGTAAAGCTGATGAAATAAGAAGGCCTTTTTCGAACCATTCATGTGTTAAAACTAGCTCCTCATGTGGTATAACACATGATTTGGGATCAGGCATCAATGAGGAAAGCATATAAATTGAAGTCCCAGGTCAGTGCTTCCCTTGTAATGTGGTTACTTTGCCTGACAGTTAAGAAAACTTTGTACATGGCAGTATGTCAGCTCATTGCACCGGTGGATAGTTTAGTTTTATCATGTATGCAACATCATCTATTTTCAGTTTCGTATACCAAAGAAGAAACCAAACGCCAAGTCAGAGGATGTCCAAGTTCAGTCCCCTTTGGCAAGGCTCCCAGGCTCCCACCATTGGGACTACCCTTTACGAGAGGTAAAGAGAAGTTCTTTGGAGTGTGAAGTGTGTAGGAGAATGTTACATAAGGTTTTGGTTTAGTTTTGGAAGTTGGATTTTTTCAATACTGAGTGCTGCCTTGTGAACAGTATCTGACCCAGATTGTCTAGACACAAGTGTGTAGGTTTGAAATCTATCTGCAAACATATATTCACAGAAATTAAAGTCTTAGTGCCATGTTTTCAGCCTAAGTCATTAAAAAGCAGAATTGATCTTCATGTGTAGTTTGAAACTATCTTAAAAGTCATGAATTTAAAGGTAAATATGTTTGGTTTTTTAGTTAATTGTCTTCTGATTCCTGAACTTTGAGGTTATATTCAGATAATTTATCAAACCTTTTGTTATATTATGGAAATAACCTTTACATGGAGTTTTCAGATAGTCATTATTTGTACCTAAAAGCTTAAACTTAAAGAGAATATAAAATGCTGTATCACTTGACAGAAGTGTAGGCGCTAATACAGAAATAACTGTATTAAGACCAGAAGACTGTAAGAGTCCTTATGGCATTTATCTTAAATGACCGGCTTGATCATCTCGGTCACATACAGAAGCAAATATTTGCCTCTGTAAATCTGTTCATTTTTAAAATGCCAAGTGTTGGAAACATGTTTTCCTACTCTTGTCTCCTTCACCTCAGCATTGAGAGTTTGTTGCTGGTTTTAGTGCTTTCAGAATCATGGGGCTGGACAAATAGGCTCCCACTCAGAGGAGCTTAAAAATCCTAGTGAGGGATGTTAGGAATTTTCTTTGTAGTAGTGGTGATAATGTGACCCAAGTATCTTGCTAGGCCTGGTCATTTGAGCATGCTGCAGTAGACTCACTGTGTGGTTGTATTCTGTACTGTTAATACTTGAAGTGAGCAGAGCATCCAGTTACAGTCAGGTTTTGAAGCTGGAAGTCATGGCTTCTGTGGTTACAAGCAGGAGTCTCTTGGGCAGATCCAGACAGCACTTACATGAAATTCTTTGTCTTTCTCTCTTCCTCTATAGAAACAGTGATTAGACTGGGTGAATTGAAAAATATTTTTTCCTTGCTATTTCCTGTATGTTGTCTAGTATTTCTTTTCTTATCTTTCCTACCTATGTCTGTATATTTTGGACTTTTCTATATGGTAGAGAGTTTCATATACTTTAAATGGTGACTAGATTTTATGTTCTACTTTAAAAGCTTGAGGTATCAGCGTGTGCTCCGTGTTGTTTGAGAAACCTTGTGCAGCTTTCAGTGGTTTTGGCATATAGGTCTTTACCATGCTTGAACACCAGTGCAGTGAGGTGAACTACATAGTGTTTGCAGGCAGGAAGAGGGGAGAGCACCTTCAAAACAATTTGTTGCTGTCAAGTTTTAAATAATGAGGGTATTTTTCACTAGAGTTAGTCCCTATGATAGGGAAAAGTTTGACTTGGGATGCACGTTTCAGACTTCACTAATGTTTGTAAAACATGTGGGTGTGAATTTTTCAGATGCCCTTTTGTCCCACACTTAGAAATGAAGATAAGTCTGTCTGCTTTCAGCCTGAGTGGTGTAATTTTCAAACATGTCTTTGGGTTATTACATTTTGCATTTAAAAAAAATGAGTGATTAGGAGGAGGTAATGGCAGAGGGAGGAAGATTTCTAGAATTGCAGAAATAACTATATGTTTTGATTTATTTAGTTTGAAAATATAAGTGCATTCTGGTAAGGTAAGAGAATTTGTAAAAAAATGAAGTCTTGCTGTTACACGTTTTGCCACCTAAGTACTAAACCTTCAAATTCCTTTTCCTTCTCAGAATTGTGTATCTTTGAATGGAATATAATTTGGTTAAATGAATGGAGTTAAAGGAAGTAGAGGCTGTCTTCTGTATTTGTGATTATGTAAAACAGGCCTAATATTTAAGTCACTATTTGGGATAGTCCTTGTTTATATAGGGAAGCAATTGAATTGTCCTCTTTTGTTATCTTTCTTTAGGAGCAAAAAGTTCCATTCAAGATCAGGTGGTATGTGGATGCTTTAAATCAAGCAAATTCATTCTTTTCAAAGTTGTTGTATATGCTCCTTGTGGCTCTGCTTTATTTGATCAGTTGCATTGTTTTGGTGTCTGGCATTGTTGTTTTTCTAGTGTATTATCCATTGTGACATATTTATGATGAAAACCTGCCAATTTTATTTGTTTTGTTTCAGTGGAGATTAAGTGCCAACAACAGAAAGCCTCCCACAAAAGGAAAAAGGCAAAAGGACTGCGACAGACACAGCTCTGACAACGAAGAATCAGTTCGGTAAGAAGTTGTCTCAGAATTAGTTTTTCTGTGTACATTCAGAGTTTCACAGTCTTTCTTGAAAATGGGCATCTCTGATTTCTAGGTCATTATTTTTGTCATGCTGAGATGGTTTTCAAGCTGTTTGGGTAGCTCACCTTCAGAGAATCATGCTTCAGTGATCTAAGAAAATGTAACTTTTTCTTTAACACAAGACTGTGATGTCAGAATGGGAGTGCAGCACTTACTGGGGGAATTTCTGCTTGTTGACCTGCTTGGAATCCTGGAACATGTTCATTACTGTATAAGTGTAAATTGTCATTCTAGCCCTAGATATTTTAGATATTTAAGAAGCTTCCGTGATTATCTTTTGTTTATCTGTTTTTGCTCTGTAGTCCACACGTATTAACTTAGCTCTATCAGATCTTAAAACCAACAACAAAAAGCCTTAAGCAATATGGTGATTAGTAGGGGAAGGCAGTAAATAAAATTAGAGTTTTTTCACCTGTGTGTTATGGTTCAGGCACTTAAGTAAATAATTAAGGCTGCTGATGTGTCCTTTATGCTCTGTTGCCTAGAGCAAATACCTTTGTTTCTTTGAGATTATGGCAAATTATTTAAAATCATCTTCTGGGGGAAGCTGTCAGCTAGAGAATGGTTTATCTGAAAATTTTGAAGCTGTAAATTCTGTAGTTGACAAATGGAAATGAAAATGTAGACTAGATTTATTAGCAGCAACCAGGAAGCCTGAATTCAAGATGAAATGAACCATGTTTATCTTAATGAAGCAATTGTTAATCCACATATGACACAATTCTAAATCAATGAGTAAGCATTCTCTGCCCTGTGTTCTGACTGCAACTAAACTTGACCATAAGTGATTTCTTGTCAGGAGAGGCTGTTAAAAACAAAGTGTACAGGTAATGAAAATCCTTAATGACAGCAGGTGATTTTCACACTGCTTAATTCTGTGGGTTTGTGAGCTGTGAATAGTCATTGTTTAGCTTGATCCATATACTCAGAATGCTTCAAAGTGTTACAGGGAAGAGCTGAATTTATAAAAGATGCTGAATTTATTTTTCATGCCTCTTCAGAGACATAGCTGTCAGTTTACATGTAGTTACCTCAAAATGCTTCTGTCAATAACTTGAACTGAGGAAGCAGCTCACAGGGTCATCTTAGCAGAATTTAAAAGCTATGTTAATTGAAGCTTCCTGAATTTGAAATATGTTTGGACATGGCTGATACATGATAGCAATCTCTAAAGGTCTTTTAGTAAACTTTGAAATGATCTTTCAACATTGAGGAAGTTTTTTTAAACAGCTGCTTTTGGATCTGTTACATAGGTTAATTTTCTGTTACATATGTTTATTTTGATATGTGAGAGACTCTGAAATAGCATTTGTAGATATTCCGTCATCTTTACAGAAATTCTTACCAGCACATTAGTGAGAAATGATTTAGACTGTAAAGGGACAGTAAATAGTCAGATAATAAACCTGTGCATTTTTCACTTCCTCAAAAAAAAAGATGTGTCTAGGGACTAGCTGAAGGTTCACTGTAAAATAAACCTACCCTACTGTCTACTATGAAGCTTGTGCTGAGTATTCCATTTGGGTACCTGGTGTTTCTCAGTAAGTAAAATCAACACAGTGACCCAATTGCATAATAGGTAGAAAGAGCACACTGGTTCTAAAAAGGTGGTTGTTGAGCAAAAGTCTAAGAACTGACGAAACTCCGGAAGAGGAGAGAGTGAAGTTGCATGCTGAGAGTCTTTCTAATGCAGTAGTTTCTGTGTTCCTTCTAAGTGAGGATTTTTCATTTGCATTGCCAAGCAGGAAGTAGGTGTTAATGACTGACTCCTATTAGCTGTTTTAAGAACAGTCTTTGTTGATAGGAGCCAATCTCAGATGTTTAGGGAGATAGGTTTCATCTAAGCTTTGCTTCAGTGTTGTAATTGCCACTTAATTTTAATCAGGAAGGACAAAGTGGACATATTGACATAAACCCACCTTCACATATGTTTTTAACTTAAATTCTGGGTTACAAAATTTAGTAGTTGATTGCTTCTGTCAGTCGTGCTGTGATGTGAGACCATGGGGGCTGGAAGCAGCAACTGCAGCTGCTCTCATTTGTATACCTCTGCTCATGGCCTTGTGGAAAGTGACTGTCAGGTGATTTGTTTGCCATCCCAGAGAGGCTGCTGGGGCAGGTTAGTTCCCTAATCTGTTTCATACCGTGGAGGTTTCTTATACATTCTTGTGGTTGTGTTGCAAAACAGATTAGAACTGTCATTAAATATCGATAGTTCAGTTTATTAATGTCATGAGGTGTGGTATTTATGTAATTGGTCGATTAATGTTTTGTGTTCCACTAAGGAAACTCTTTCCTAATAGAGGAAGTAGATAACACTATTTCAAGGATAGCTTTTGCCCTCTGGAAATAGTGTTTAGAAGTGTCCACTTACTACAGCTGTATTACTACGGCATTCTCCCAGAGGGGAATAGAGGTAAAGGAAACCAAACAAACAAAAAAAGGAAGTAAATTGGAACACTGTTCTGAAATTCAAGCTTCTCATCCTGGTCTGTCAAGTTTTCTTTAGCGAGGAGGGTGGGGGGGGGTGCTTAACATGTGTGTGATTCTTTAGCTCAGAATTTCAGACGTTATTTGCAATACGTGTCATGGCTGAATCAAGTACTGACCCCATAGCAGTCAGGTTTTTGTGGCAGTCATTTACATACTGGTTCCCCTAGCCCTGACTGGTGCATTTGGTCAGTAATAACTTCCTGGTCCAGCAAAGCAAGGAGTTTAGTAGGGATATTCACATTTGCTGTTTGTTAGTCATTGACTTCTCATCAGTTGATGAAAGGTCAGGACCTTGCAGCAGGAAGAGGACCGAGTGAAGTTTTCTTCTCAACAGGGTCTAGGGGGTGAATGTATCAATCAGAGTTTCCTGTTAATACCAGTGCAACATGTTATTCTTTTGGGCCCTGAAAGGTCAAAGACCTCCTGAGCTGTGCATGTGCTGCAGAAGCTCAGGTACCTGAATGCGTGTCAGGTCTGTCAGTGGCTTTATTCCAGGACAGATATTCAGCTTTTATGGGACCTGATGGCGTGACCCTGATGGTATGTGACATCCCACTGTCAAAATATTTATCTCCCAAAACTTGGGGTTACTTGTAGAAGTATGTGGGCATGAAGATAGTGGTGTAGACAATTAAAAATAATTTAGTCCAAAAAGAAGTCGGTAGCCTTCAGGTCTCATTTTGATCACTTTCTAATACAAATGTGAATGAATTGGAGCCAGTGGTTGCAACACTGGAGTGTGTACACAAATATGATAATTGAGAAAGGAACTGGACCTTGCAGCTGTGATTATTGTGTGAAATAGAGGTCAAACATTTTCCCCAAAGGGGTATAAACTATTAATAGCTTTTGGTCCTGTGCTTTGTAAGGTAGGATAATCCTTTTTTGCCTGTGAAAAGTGTTGTAAGACTTGCCAGGAACAGCTAACAGCATTTTTTCATAGTATACTCTTTGTCTGTTTCATCATTGCAAGTGTAAATATGTTTTCATGACCTTTGTTTTTGTATTGTTTTCTTTTGTGGAGGTAGGTAAGAGGGAGTATGGTAGATGGTAGAAACAGAAATAATTGCTATTGGTTTTCCTTCACCAAGATGCCTCCAGTATTACTGTTGTGCAGGTTACTTGCTGGATCTGCTGTGGGACTTCCTTTTAATGTATCCTTCCTTGCTTTTTTCTGCTTGATGCTAATTTTTATCTTTTGCAGTGTGTTTTGCATATGTTACTCACTTCACTGTACAGACAGTCTAACAGGTAACTTAGGGATCTGTGTCCCAACCATTGTTTACAGATGTACAGGCTGGCTTAAGTTTAGATGTTTTCTTGGCTCTATCTAAACCCAGTCTTAATAACAAGGTTTTCAAGAAATGCTGCGAGATACCATTCCTCCTTTAAGAAAGGGAAGAAGCCATTGAAAGCTCTGATGCCACTCTGCTGCTCCGAAGGTCAGGTCATAACCAGTTGTCCTATCAAGGTCTTCAGTCAAAAACTGGTGCCACATAAGAAGTGATGCCTTGGCTTGGCACTGACATCTTTAAGAATGGCACAGTGTGTACTGTTTTCTTCCTTGTTTGTCGAAGGCTCCTCTGCTTTTAATAGATTTCCAGTGCAAAGCGGGTTTCACAGCTGTGTGTCTGTGCTTTGAATTGTAAGGTCATTTTTACAAAGGTGCTTGCTTAAAATGTGTATACCTCATTTAAATCAAGGGGATAGGAAGCGTTACAAATTCTGTGCCAAATAACAATCAGTAAACTAAATTACAGAGGGGCCTGGAGCCTGTCAAAGTCTAGCCTGATGTGAATGTGAACAAAGGATGTCAGACCTGAATTTCTAAGGTGGCCAACAAACTATAGGTAGTGAAGTCCACCTTCATTGGAAATTCTGCTTCTGACTCCCTTACCTCCTGCTGTGGACTTTTTCTGTCATTATGTTTAAACACTCAACATTGGAATACTTTCTGTTACCTTTACAAGTCCTGATTGCACATGATCACAGGGTCTTTATTTTAATTGTATGTTCCAATTGGCCTAATTACCTTGCTTTTTGAGGCTAAATTTAGTAAAATTTCAGTATGATACCTCGTGCTTGAAAAACAGAAGGAAAAAAATTAGCTGGCATTTCTGTGAGATGTGGAACTATGAAAACTTGAAATAATCAAGATCTGGGAAGTAGACTGATGGGCTTGTCTTGATGATAGGCTTGGCTTGATTCTAGTCAGGAGAGCTGAAGTGTTCCATAGAGGATAACACATTTATGTTCTCATGGTCCTCTACAATAATGATTTTAAACCATTATTTTTTTAAGGAGAAATGATTTTCTGGTTCACATCTTCATATTGCTTGGGCCTACTTCTGCATTGGTTTTGGTTTTGGAGGAAAAACCACCATTTAGTTACTTCAAGGTTTGATTTGTAATTTCAGGTCCTGTTAGAGGAAGAG